GAGTACTAAAATATTGCCACTGTAATAAATTAAATTACATTCGATAATAAAAATAACTGAAATGGTTTTATTTCATATTTTAATTCAATACACTATACTATTTGTCTGAAAACAATTTAATTAATTTTTAAATATTTTATATTATTATATGTTTTATTAATATTGTTGTATTTAACAAAACTATAACAAGTAGAATGATTATTAATATAAAAATTACATCTTATTTTATAGAATAATAATATTGATATTATTTTTATAATTATTAAGAATAGTTGACATATTAATACAATTAATATATTGAAATATGTTTTTAATAGTGCACTCTGAAATACAACTATGATTCATTTACTCAACACTTTGAGTTAAGTTTAAACTTTCTGTGTCGATACATTGTAACTTTCTTCGAAGATCCAAATTTTTTCTATTTATGAGTATTCTTTGAACAACAAAATTCTGAAGATTTTCTTTAATTTTTCTTTCTTCATTATCATTGTTTTTTATTGAGATATTAGAATCATTATTGTGCTCTTTATTCTTCATCACAATGGGCACATTTTCACCTTCAAAAACCCATTCATACACAGGATCAACAATTTCATAACAATCTTCATAACAATTATCATAGCCTGCATGAGTCCAACAGTTGGTTATTATTGTGGTTGTCACTTCATCCCAAGCTTTAACACATATCTCTATTGCATTACCAACAGTGTATGTGGGCAATATTCTATTGAGATTTACTGAACTCAGAATAACATCCATAAAAAGGCGATGGTAATGCCTTTTAAAAGACATTATTATACCAACATCGTCTGGTTGGTATTTCGATGTCGAATTTTCAGGAAGGTACGTTATAATTATATGTCTCAACCCAGATAGTTCATAAACGTATAAATTCTTGTGATCTCTTCCTTTAAAAACGTATCTTTCATCAAGATCACAAAGCGCAGTTTCAGTTTTGATTTTCAAAGTGTGGCTGGGACAGTTGTCAACAATAAGGAGAATGGTGCGATCAGGAGTCAAGCGATCAATTTCATCGTCCCAATGTTTCAACCAAAAATGAAATATACACGTCTTCATCCATGATTTTTTCTGGCTGATGTATATATTTTTATAAGTAGTAAGGTGTGGGTCTTTAAACAACATAGGACTTTTAGTTAGGCCTATTACCAATAGAGGCCTCTTCTCTCCCACTAAAGAAGTACAAATCATTAAAGAAATGCGAGCCTTTGACGTTTTATACCCACTTTTCTGTGAATCATCAAGAGTGTTTTCTGGCAAAGCCATATAATACAAACCCATCTCATCGGCATTGTATACATCTTCTTTCTTATACTCACTAACAACCCTTAACAGTTCTTCAAAAAGAGTACGAACCTTTACCAAATCAACAAAAACCTCTTCGCCGTTAGTTTTGTACCTTTTTAATTGTTTCTTTTGCAAAATTTTGAGCCCACCCAATAGACGCGCCTTGATGGATAGTTTCTGAGTGTTCTTGAATGAATTTTTTAGCTTGGTGAACCAACATAAAATAATCAATTGGTATTCCCGCTTCACGAACTTCATGAAACCAATTGATCATTGCTTCCTCGAGTTCAGGGTTCTGTGGTTTTCTTTTGCGTTTTTGCGATGAAGGAAATTCCCTTAATGTTTCTATATAGATAAAATCCAACCGATAAATTTGTTTTGGAGAGATAACCAAATTTAACTGTTGTTTCACAATTTCTATAACTTTTTGTGTGTTTTGATAAAGACTAATAATGATTATAATTATTATTTTGTCTTCGACCCTCAGTGTCGTTCAAGTAATGACATGTTTTGACTGCATCGAACTTAAATAATTAAATAGTTTCAATAAAAAGTTTTGTCAATAAAACCAAGTTAAATCTTAAAAATATATTTATTAAAGTAATTGTGTATATTTATGTTTGTTGTGGCTATTTAACAAACATTAATCATTTCAATAATGCATTTATTTTTGTGTAAAAAATCACCAAAATATTTTTATAAATAATCAGCAAAATCATTTTTATTGTATCAACCCAAGCTAAAGTTAAAAAAATGTTTTTTTAAAGACAAAAAACAAAACGATCTGGTTTTTTGTTTGTTTTAAAATACAAATTTTGGACTCTTATCCAATATATACTGTATTCAATCTTATATTAAAAACGTTTTAATATTTAAAAATATTGTAAACTGTTTTTCAAAATTTTGTACTGGGGTTTCCCCAATTTTTGCATTTGTTTTGTTTGGTATTTTTGGAAATCAGTTTTTGTATTAAATTTCGATTATTTTTTAAGTAAAATGAGAAAAAATGTCTTCAAAAAATATTTTTTTTTACTTTGAGAATTTTTAAATTATTTCCCAATAAATTTTGAAATAACGGGATTTTTGTTTTTGAAAAACATGTGATTTATTACAAAAGTGCATCTTATTATAAAATTCTGATAAAATAAATGCAAAAATTTTCAAAGTCGAGCCTTCATTTATAATAAAATAAAATAAAAAACATATGCAAATATATCGCGTAATAATGATATACCGATGGTGTCGTCACAACAATAACTAAAATATCAAAACTTATAATTATTAAATGTTTGCTCTAATTTATTTTTTAAAAAAAACTTGTTATTTTATTTTCTTTTGTTCATAAAAAAAGAAAAAGGCACAAACATTATTTAAATTATAGTGTGCTTAATTTGTTGTCACTCAATAATAATATCATAAGTCGGAATTATGAAATATTAGATTTATTTTATTTATATCTTCAGGAACTTTTTGTTTCATTTTCTTTGTCCATAAAAGAAAACCACGTGTTTGTTTTCAATTGAAATTTGTTTTTTTATGAAACTAACATTTAGTAACAAAATGATATAAACAACAACATACCAATTTACTAACGTCTTTATCGTTGTGTAATTTGAGCTACAATGTTGAGTTTATGTTGTATGGTATCGAGTTAAAATCAAATCAAATAACGGGATCGTTTTTTTAAATACTGGCTTACAGTCCGATAATTTTTTGATATTGTACGAAAATAATTGAACGGGTATTTTTTTTCAAAACTAAGACTGTATTTTTGATTTTTTGTTTTTTTAAGAAAAATAAAAAAAATAAAAAACGGGACTTTAGGGAGTTCTTAAAATACAGCGGTACAGGCTTTTGAACTACAGTCCATAACAATAAAAGGAATTAAAAGATGGGCTATTGATTTGCTAATTGTAAAAAACTCACATTAAAATAATGTGGTTATTTAATACATCATTTTGTGTAATATTATTAAACTATTTTAGAGTTTGTTTCAAAATGTTGTCCTGTTAATTGATTAATCCATTATTATTTGTTTTAAAAATCAGGAATTAGCTATAATTATAATTAATTGAAAAAAAATTAAAAAAAACTTAAATATTTTAAACAAAATCTTATTATTTTCCAATGTTATTTACTAAAATACCCAGGACAACGTTTTCCAACAAACTACAATCGAAAAATAAATTTATGCAGATTTACAATATTATTTATGTCGCTTTTCACTTTTAATCAGTTCTTGTTTTTTGACTAAAGTCATTTACCATTGTTAGACACTTGGTTATAAATGGTTTTATTTTACAAAGAAAACAACATAAAATAATTTACAACGAAATATATTAATTAACTTATTATAAATATTAATATTTAAATTCCTTATTTTAAATGAAAAAAAATGAAAAACATTTGAGAGTCGAAAAGGGGTATATCAAAAGTTGAATAACAACAAAAGCGGAAGAAAATCTAACAATAATAATTAAAGTAATAATATAATTTTGATACACATTTATAATAATAAATTGAACTAAAATAACAATTTCTACAAACGGAATGTCATCTTATTTACTTAACCAAACAGTTGAGCATGATATCACAACGAAGTACCAAAGTGTTTTAATGTTCTTGTTGTCTCAAACTACTTCATTTGTGGTGAGTTTATCTTCATATAGTTCAACCAAATCATCTCATTTTGTGACGATCAAAGAACTGACTTATTTTGGCGACGACATCTTCACCATCAATTTAAGAGAACTCGTCAACGAGCGTGCGAGTCAAAATTTTGACGATTTATGTAAAGAAAAAGTCTCGAAAAAAACAGCTGAAAGAAGAGTTGTGTATGGAAAGCCGTCCGACTCTATTCACTTTTTAGAAGACTTGTTATACATAATTGGAATCGATTGCTTTTGCCAAATCGGCGACAAAGTTGGGAATACAACTCGACTTGAAATTGGATTTCAGAATGGGACAGTGTGGAGTGCTGGTGATGTTGAAAGGGTTGGAGAAAGTGTGAATGAATACATTTATTCAAAATTAAATGGGAAAAAAGAGGTGTTAATTGAAAGAATTGAACTAATAACATCGCTTGGTATTATCACGGGTAAGTATTAAATTAATTGTAAATATTGTAAAATATTTGGTTTTGAAAGTTTATTTTTATTTTAGATTAATTTTTTAATAAGTGTTGGTTTTTGTATCAATGTTTTGTGGACAATTCGACACTACACAACACAGCCACACGTTTCTATTTTTTTCTGTTTCAGTAAATTAAATATATTTGTGTATTTATTTGGTTTGAATGGCTTCACTAAAATGTGTTGATTTGGAATCTATCACTTAACAAAGACAAACATATTTTTTTAGACAATTCATAATAAAAATGGGTAAAAAAATTTATATTGAAAAGATGTTATTTTTTGTAAAATTCATAATATTGTAGCAACAGCGATTATTTAAAAGAACAACAGTGTAATTAAATGACTTTCACGCGTTATTTCTTTAACAATTGTTAGAACATTGTTATAACAATAACATGACACATTTAAGTTGATAATTCAATGTTAAGTTAAACATTTCACAGATTTAACAGTTAAAAAATATCAAAAAGTACAATTATTATAACAATTAACCAAATTCAATGTTCATTGTTGTTTTAAAATTACAAAAAAATCAAAGAAAAGAAAAATAATCAAAAATTATCGTGACTTTGGAATATTATCAAAATCGTCCAAAAAGTGTCCTTTACTCTTGTGGTCCACCATGTACTTATACAATTGCCCAACTGTAGGTTTGTTTACTCGAATGACTTTCACAAACTCTCGAATTTCATTGCCAAATGGTGTATCATTAAATGTGTTATAAATCATATCTCTTCCATTCAAAGCACATGCACACATCTGTATAATGAATTTAAGTCTCATATCTCCTTTATAAGCACCACTTCCCCATTTTCCCGTTGAAAATATTGGTAGTGTCTTCTCCGTTTCTTTCGCACCTCTTTCTGTTGCTGAAAGCACTTTATGAAGTTCTCTTTCTATACCCCAAGGCAGATATTGGCCGTTCTTTCTGTCTCCACCTTTCAATGCGTCAAAAGCGGTCCAGTCGTGTTTTCTTTTTGTTATTATTTATACTGTTCTGATTGAAATATAACATTTAAATTATAATAACTACTATAATTATATTATATAAATTATTTATATATTATAAATAATATATATATTATATATATTATATATATAATAATACTTATAAGTATTATAGATATTATTATATTATTATATTATTATTATTATTATTCATTATTATTATTATTATTATTATTATTATTATTATTATTATTATTATTATTATTATTATTATTATTATTATTATTATTATTATTATTATTATTATTATTATAATAAATACAAAACAAACTCCTTCTTTGAAAACACCTCTTTGGTTGTGTTATATCCATGGGAATATCCTTCCCCATCGGAGTATTTAATTACATTATACATCCGAATAGAATCTTTGTCTTCCATCCCTTCACATAGTAATAAACTGACTAAAGACTCTGGACATTTCAAAAAGAGGATCTCTTCTTGCACCATACCCATATTGAGCACACCACCGCCAATATACTTATTAGCAAAGTCCGCCTCAAGTGCTCCCTGTTTATCTTCAATAACACCGACATCATCGACTTCGACATTCCCAACGACTTTCACTTCACTTCTTGCGAAGTCAAATTTTTTCACAACATTTCTTTCAACCACAACAATTTCATCTAAAACTTTAGACTGTTTCAAATTTTCAATTTTTGTGGAATCCACAGTGGAGTCCAGTTTTGCTATTTCGTCGTCAAGTGCCGTGTCGTCCTTTGAGAATCGGAGAATGCCGTCAAAGTAAGCGATGTACGCACGAAGCTTTGTCGCCTGCACTTTCCCGCCAAAGAAGACGATTGGGAATATTGAGACGTCTCTGAAGGTCTGGGGAAGTGTATAGAATCCCAAAAGCGACAACGCAAGAAGCCCCGCCACCTGGCGACGGGTCAATTCCACAACGCCTTTTGTAGTCATTTTAAGTTGTGGAATTGGTGACTGAATATATTTCAATGATAATATTGCAAGATCAAAAATGACTGGGAGTGTTATTGTTGTGAAGTGTTTGGTCTCCTCAGTTGAAAGATTTTTTAAGACACGAATGAGTTGACAAGAGCCTTGTGTACTTGTCAAAATTTGAGTTAAAGAACCAATAGAACTCTTTGAGGTTTTTAGTGTGTTGATTATTGCTAACACTTTTGGAAACAGATTGGGAGAACCTGGGTGTGGCAACGTATTCGAAGGAACAGCTACAGAAGATGGAACTACTTCCACTTCATCGTGAAAGATTTCACTTTTGTAAATTTGTGAAGAAGACATATTATTTATTGTTAGTTTCGTGTTTATTTGTATTTGATTGTATGAGGCTTGTCTGTATATTATTTAGAAGAGTTTATATTAATAGAAACCAATTATTCGAAATATAAAAATTAACCATTTTATTAATTGCCAAGCTTCAAAATGTGGATTTAAATAATAAAACTATCTTATTATAATTATTAATAATAATTTGATTGTTATAATGTCGGCTTTAAAACATGAACATGTAATATGCACGGTATTGTTAAAACTATTTATATACTACACATTTTATATATATCATAAATTAACAGCCAGAACCTTTTTCATTTTTGTAAAGTCATGTTCGCCCACAAATATTGTTCTTCTTGTTTCTAAGCTTTTACTTCATATTTTCTTGAGTTGGAGTAATTAAATTATGTTTTGAGAAACAATTTAATAACAAATTGTAATCGTCTGATACTCCACATCACTTGAGGCACTTAATGGTAACTTGCTATTGGTTCTAAATATTCTTTTATTGTTTTAGTAGAATGTTTGCTAGTTCAACAAATTTATAAATCATTTTACAACAACACAGTAACAACTGTGTTTAATATAATCAATTATGTCTGTTTTTGTGAAAGTATCAATTAAAGATCAATAAAGTAACCCAAACTTGAAACATCTTTTTTGTAATAATAATCCTTTTAATAGTGAATCAACGTCGTCCCGAATAGTGATTTGAAGAGCTAATACTTTATCATGTAATCATTATACGGTTTATAATAATTCATGTGGTTTGTTTTGTTGCAAGTTGACGATGCAAATAAGCAAAACCCCATCTTAAAACAATACAGATAAACTGAATTATGTTGTGTTTTGAATACAGAACAGTTCCACACGTGCTCTTATTAAATTTATTACATTTGTAGGTGGATATATGTTTGTTCATATCAATCTTAATAATATTTATTTTCGTTGTTTTTTAAAATATATTAAAATGTCATAATGCTATGAAATAGAGTTGGTAACACAAACAAATTATTTTTTTAACAAAATACAGCAGAGTTTCATAAGAACTTTATTTTTCAATATACAGTAAAAAAGTGTCTTTTTGTGTTTTTTATATTTGTAAATTAAGTCTATTTGTAAGTCAATTGACTAATCAAATGACTTAACAACATTTTTTGCCGTTTGTTTGCAACAACTATGTACAAAGTGTAAAGTGGTTTGATACGTATCAAAGCGTTACATCCAAAATTATAAGAAAACGGTAGAGTTATTAACTCACACCATTTTACTGAAAAAAACCCAAATAAAAAGGCACAGTCCATATTGATGCCAAGATTTCAAAAGTCGTCCACAATTATTTTATATCTATTATTATTATTATTATTATTATTATTATTATTATTATTATTATTATTATTATTATTATTATTATTATTATTATTATTATTTAATTATGTATTAAATTTTGTGTTTTTACACAAAAAACTAAAAACTGGATAAATTTATTTTTTTCGCGTTGAGAACTTTTGATAGATAATGGTAGAGTGTGTAAGAATCAAAATAAATTTAAAGTATTTAATAAAAAATAAATACTATTTTTAACTTTTTTTATTTTATTCCTTTTTGATTTAAAAAATGAATAAAATATTCTACACATCTATTAATAGTAAAAATGATGTATTTCAAACACTTATGGGAATTATTATTGTATTGATCATTTTTGATGAAATTTGTTTTTCAAAATTGTTATAAAAATAATTTAAAAATAAAACCCTATAAAAAGATAATAAACATATAATATATTGAAATATAAACTTTAGAATTATTCAAAATTTTATTAACTTAAAAATCAAATGAAAAAATTTGATTGGGCATTCCCATTAACAATGGAATGTAGAAAAGGCTTATCAATGGATCTCCAATTAAACTTTTCTTTTGGAGCTCAAGCCACACCATTTAACATTTGTAAAGTTCCTCCAAAACCAACTTTCTTTGAAACGGAACCAGAAATCACAAATGAAACTAAATATTTCGAAAATCCAAATGAAAAAGATCCCATATTTATCAGAAATGCATTTTTAGCATCAAAACATATTGATCAACACTTTGAAATGTACAATGCCAGGATGAAAGAAATATCTAAACAATACTACGAAGAAAATGATATTCATGAAGTATTGTTTCCTAGACAAATTGTTCCATCTACTCAATTGAATCTCAAAAGAAAAAAAATATTACAATGAAAGAAAAAACGACTTGTATACACAAATATATATTTATTATTCTGATTGTAAAAATTATAATAGAACTGCCAAACAATTCAAATTGCCTCCTTCAACCATCCACAATATCATTGAAAGGGTTAAAAATGGAGTGTCTCTGACTGGTAACTAAAAAGGGAGGAAATCGGGGCACAATTACAAATTTGATTATAATACAATAACAATGATACTCGAAGAAATAAGCGCGAACAAACACACAACCTTAAAATTGATAACAAAACATGTAAACGAAAAAAAAAGAGATGAATGGATGGAAGCTATAGCTCGGTACGAATCTTATTCAATGAGAGATGAACACGAAATTAAAGAGATGTTGAAACAGAAAAAAGTCAGTTTAAGTGGTGTACACAGAATATTAAAGAGACTAGGAGTGACACTGAAACTAGTCAAAAAAGAACAATTTAATCGAAACGTCAAAGTTCGGATTGAACAAAGAAAAATGTATGCTGATCATATCGAATATTTGAATTATTTCCAATTCGTTTATGCATATATAGACGAAGTTGGAGTCAACTTTAATCACACGAGAAGACAGGGTTATTCGTTTATAGGCCAATGTTGTAGTGTTGAATCCAAAAACATAAGAGAGCCAAATTTAACCACGTTTGCCATGGTGGTACCGGGTAAAAATTTGGTGTTTCGTATTAGTAGTAAAAGCTCCAATGTTATTTTCATCAACAGCGTCAAAGAAGTTTTTATTCCACAATTAATAAAGTGGTATGGTCCAGTTTTTATACACTTTGTAATTGATAACGCATCAATTCACAAGAAGGATATGATATTGGTGTGTCAAGAGTACGGAAATATATGTAACATATTTAGTACCATATTCACCTCAATTAAACGCTATCGAAAAATGCTTTTCAGCAATGAAGTCTTATTTGGCTGAGATTCTAAGTGATAACGAGTCGTTCAAAAAAGCATTGAACTTTATGAAATGTTACGAATATCATGATTTGATACTCAAGGATGTACGAATGACTAACATAAATATAAAAATGTTTTCGTCTTTTGTTGCAGCTTCATTGCTTTGGGTGAGTTCTCAAAGTACATACAATTTCCATATTAAAACGTTTGAATGGGTGAAAAGAGCAAAAGAAGGGTTTCGCTTTGAGAACGACGACAACTTAAACAATAAAATTGTTCGAATTGAAGTACCGATCCCTGACGAAGAATTTGTGTTTAGTTATAATGATAATAACTCACAAAGTACTGTAAATTTTATATCCAGAAATGATGTACTTCATGTTTTGACGTATGACCCATTTACGATTAAAAATGAAAAGTACTTTACAAATTGTGAACGCTTTTTTCAAGAAAAACGTCAAGAAAAAGAATTGTATCGTTATAATGAAGGAAAAAATAACTACCAATTTGAACACAAAATCATTCCTGATATTTCTGACACTTTTGCAATTCAGGAAAATAATATAATGGAAGAATGTGATTATTATAATGAAGAAAAGTTGAAAAGTGAGTGTTCAAAAAGTGAATATATGTTTTCACAAATTTCAACAATAAAATGTTGTGACGATATTGATAAAAATACAAGTCCAAAACTCATATTACCTCGAGAAATTGATGAATCAACAATCGACTTAATTCATCAAAAAAATCAATATGATGATGAATGCAAATGTTGTGTTGGGACTCAAATTCAATTAGAAAATAGTTTTAACCCAATTATTGACAATACATATCATTCAAAATCTTGGCAATATTGGGGTTATTATGATCCAAATGATTACAGAAGAGATACCACAACTACAAATGAAATTAAAGAAAATTGCTAAAAATGTTTAACAAATTCACAAATGGAAATAACAAAACAAATTTGTCATTCTTCATTTCAAAATGGTACTAATATAGAAGAGGGTCAAACAATCGGAATTGGTTGGAATTTTGGGGATAATTTGATGGATTTGAGTGATTTAGATGATGAAGTTATAATTGTTAAAAAAGAAATGGAAGTTATAGACTTGGATGGTTCTTTAAAATATGAAAATATTGAAAATGCATATTCCGAATTCTTGAATTATAAAACATCAAAAAAACAAATGGAATTTGATTATTCAAGAATAAATTCCTAGTTGATTTTTATGGTTAAACCAATTATAAACTTGCCATATTCTACTGATATATCCGCAATTCAAAATGTCATAACTTCTGAAATGCTTAATACAGAAATACTCGATTTGTATATTTTGTGGATTAAACTGAGAAATGTGTGCTTGTGGAAAAGATCGATTTGTTTAACTGATTGGAATAATTTTACCGATGGTGGAATTATAAAGAAAAGAGTTAGAGAAGCGATCAAAAATATGGGTATTTGTGATACTTTTTTGCTTCCTGTTTTTTATAATTCACATTTTATGTTGTGTGGAGTATTTTTTGTTGATTCCTCAACACCCATCATAGCCGAGTTCAACAGCATTAAGAATTACTCAAGTAGATTTCTTAGAAAAGTTTCCAAATTTCTTAGAGATGAATTCGAAAAACAGAAAAGAATTAATTTCAATTTAAAATGGGTTGTTGAAATACAAACTCCAATTCAATTTGACTTAATATCATGTGGTTCTTATTCGTCTTATTTTATAGAAGCGATATTCAAAAGCAATCCAAGATGTGTCAACGACATCCATAAGTGCTTTTCTGATTCATCAGCTTTTAATTTTCGGACTGAAATTTTATCTTTGACATCAGTCGACAACATACAAAGAGTTCTTAATCTTATTTCTTATTGTT